GAGGGCCGCTCAGTTGTTCCCTGTTGGGGCGGCGGACATTAATTGGAATCGCATGCCCTTTTAGCTGACCGCGCTTGTGCCATGATTGATTCTGCTTTCTTTTATTAAATTTTATTCATTATGGGCACACAGTCAACTCCAACCCATTTCGTCTATGTAAAAAGCGTAAAAATCACGAGCGACCCAATTTTCGCGGTGCAGAAAGCTCGACGCACTTCTCCACTAAAATATGCACGCTACCGTAACCCAGACGTCGAGTTTTTCGAGTTTTTGAAATTTTTCTTTTCAAGAGTTTTTATGCTGTGTTTCTGTTGTTTTTTGTATTCTTTTCTTTGGGTGATATCAACTACTGCGAGATGTGATAGAGAGATTTGTGAGCCAGGGGTTGCACAGAGACCGCAGGGAGGTGTGACTGTCAGGGAGCGATTTTGTTTATGGTGTTCTTGAGGACTCTTCTTGCTTTTTTTTTTCTTCGGGGAATTACTTATCAGCTACTGTTTCATAATTGAAAAGCAACTATCCATGACACTTTTATCGCGGGAGCTGTCTTTAAGTTGCGGCTGCTCAACAGTTAGCGGTAGAGCGCGGTCTGTAATTGTCGCGCACTTCTCAAATCCGCCACTGAATCGCTCACTATGTACGCCTCTTTAGGGAACTAAGCCATATTTTTGGCGCTATGTAGTAAGGTCAAGGCTGCGAGGGCTGACAACGAGTTTTCTCGTCCCTCCGCCCCAGAGTGGGCGCGGCCCTTTTTCATTGGGCGGCCTTTTCCCGAACTACACTAGCGCCCTTTTTATGCACTATTTTTCAATGAAGACTGTTGCACGTTCTTCATGAGTAATCCAGAAAGTGCTCAAGTCTTTATTGTCAATATGGTGGTTTTTAGGTATACTGATGATACGGCTCTTTTGTTCCGAAAGCTCAATCTGGGTACTCATGCTAATTCCCGCATTTGTATCGTAAGTTTCTTATCCTTGGAAATTCCTTTGTGACATGATTTTTTGGCTCTCAAGTACAGATTTTGTATAAATAGTGTTGTATTTAGGTCGGTGAAAACGGTTCAGGAAAAACAACACTCTTGAAGCTTCTTCTAGGAGAACTCAACCCAACGGTACAATCTTGTTTGATTCCGTATGGCTCGATTTACTGTTGAGCCTTGCGTTTTTATCTCATGATGTTTTTTGTTCCTCTTCGAGATATACAGTCTTGTCCGATGCAGAGGCGTGTCGGGCGGGATGTGTTTGCGCAATCCATCACTTTTTTGAGACAGGATTGGTAGAAAATGACTGATACGCCCGATATGATACAGTCGGTCTCGACACTTGCTCGCTTCAACAACTGGTGGAGAAGGGATTTGGCCCCGCGCCGAACTCATCTGCCTGACACCCTTCATCCGCAGCAAAGACTGTAACTGCCTGTGCGATCTTATACGTTTTCATTTTGCAGCATGGATTGCGAAATGTAAATAGACGGATTAGGATTGGGTATTTCACGCAGCATCACGTTGAT